CCTCTATGTGGTATTTTGCATCTTGAGGAATTGTTGTTGTACGATGCATCTTTCTCTAGTCAATGCGTTAGTCAACATTATTGCTATTGTGTTACCATAATGTTTTATACATTGTAGTTACATTCCTATATCCACTAAAACTCATATGGAAACCAATGTAAAGGTTGAAGTATGGTAACAGTTGTTGGATGGCAATGTAGGAGAGAGAACTGTGGACAATTTAATATTATCAGTAAGTTATACTGTTTAATTTTTATATGGGGCTTTTATTATGCCATTAGGGATTCCCAGACTATTTGATATGTATCTGTTGATAACATCAATAAAGTTGTGATTTTTGTGATTGAGGTATTTTGTATTTTGTTTCATTTTTACCTAATCTATTTATGCATGTAGGCTAAAAGCTCGAATGAAGGAACTTGTGCACGTTCTTCAAATGCAATACCATTAAACTCCTCCTTCACTGGCCAGCTGTGCTTCTATCTCAACACCCTTTGCTTTAATTACTTCCCAGATAGTATTCCGTTGTTGGGTTTATATACGGAAGGGCACAAAGTGAGTAATTACATTTTGCTCTTTTGTGTTTCACTACATGTAATATCAATACTCTAGAGTTGCAGATTTGTAAACCATCGATGATCCCTATAATTTTTAGAAATATTTTGGTAGCCTTTATTCTATTGCTGAGCTGTGTGTTAAAGGGACACATTCACAGAAGCACATCATGAAAAACTGGCCTGTTTTTCAAGATGGCATCATTAATGATGACGTGTAGTGTGAATAACAATTCATAACGTACGGCCATGCTCCTAAAAATTAAGGCAAAATGGCTACTCGAGTGGTTACTTGTAACCATTCCTGGTGATTCTTCACTAAGACGAGTATCTTGGGGTAGCAAAAGAGCTTAATTCTGGTCAAGAGAAGTGTACTACTGATGCCTACTCCTGGTTCTACACCTGATTGCTCTGTCTCTACTCTCTACACGTGTCTAAACACTTACTAAACTATTTATTAATGATCTGTTGCACACACAATTTATCCTCTACAAGTAACGTGTGCATCTATTTCCGTGAACATGTCCCTTTAAGTATACATGTATATATGTTATGATGAAGCCACACATTAAAGAATTAGCAGAG